AGAATCTTGAACATGTTCAAACAATATTTTAACCTTGATCTAGGATATGTTTTGGTGAACACATCCGCCATATTATTTTTCGAAGCCGCCTTCTCAACTATAATCTCATTTGACTCGACCATATCCCTTATAAAATACAAAATGGTGTCTATATGCTTTGGTCTCTCATGATACACTTGATTATTATTAGCCAAGTGAACGGTAATTTGACTATCACAATTCATCTTCACATATTCTTGAGTGATCCCCAACTCCCAAACCATACTTCTTAACCATATGCCATAAACCAGCTTACTAGGCTATTGGATATGCTAAGTTTGGTTTACAACAACTTAATACAAGCACTATGCTTCCAACCCACTTTCATAGAGAGTTATATATATATATATATATATATATATATATATATATATATATATATATATATATATATATATATATATATATATATATATATATATATATATATATATATATATATATATATATATATATATATATATATCTTTGATTTGAGAACATTGCATGATTGAAATCTTATTGTGTTGACTCAAAGAAGTGTTGATGGTTTTAGCATCATTATAAACTTTTCCACCATATTTTTCAAATAACTATAATCAAACTTGAACAATTCACTCATTTTACAATTTCTCGTGATATCTATCCCTAGGATTCTCTTTGTGTTACAATGATCTTTCATATCAAATTATCGATAAATTCCTAGAACTTACTGATCTCTCCCATGCTAGAGCATGCCATCAAGATATCACAACATATATTAGAAGATAGAGAACTACTTACTTATTCCTCTTAAATATGTATACATAGTTATCATAGTCACTTATTATAAAACGCTGCTTTAGGAGAAATTCACCAAGCCGACAATACCATTGTTTAGGGTTTTGTTTCAACTCATACAAATGGTTTTTTAGAAGACATGCCATAGACTTGTCTCGTACAAAATCTTCAAGTTTCTCCAAGTAGGTTGTCATTTTAATTTATTCATGTAAGAAATTCATCTTGACATCCACTAGAGTAAACCTCTTTTCTAAAAGTATTATAGAATAATGTTTTATCACATGTGAAAATAATTCATCGTAATCGATTCCCTCCACTTGAGTAAATATCTTATGTACAAGTCTTACTTTAAACTTTGGTTATTAAATTTATGGAATACCTTATTCTTAAATATCCACTTTCATTCAACCACCATTTGTTTCTTAGGTAGTATCACGGGCTCCAAAGTATGGTTTTTCGTCAATGAATGCATGCCAGCATTCGCCTCCTTCAACCTTTTTGTACTATATTTGATTTTGAATGCCTTCTTAAAGGTATTTGGTTATGATTCTTATATCCCTTAGCTACATTCAAATCATAACAAATAGGATCAGCATAACCATGTCTTCGAGGTGGTGCACTCTACATCTTCACTCTATCATATGCTAATTGATAATCTAGATCTATTTTTGGTTTCCCCTATCTAGAACTAGAAGTAGGAACCTCAACATATTCCTCATATCTAATCTTAAAAGTAGGAACCTCCACTTCAAATCGTGTTTTCTACACCTTTGTTTATGATTCTTTCACTTCCATGTATTTGTGCATCATCCTCATATAGGCCTCATCGAAAGTAACATAACTACTTAGGATAAACTTAAATCCTTAAGGTCCCATTTAACACAATTTGTATCCATTCACACCTTTATGATAACCTATGAAGAAACACTTTCATACCCTAATATGTTACTTGATATACGAAAACTTCAAAGCTCTGGAAACCTTCACATTAAAATAGTCTAGCCATATCCTTTTACATACTACCATATGCACCTTGAAGCCTATTCTTGTGGATGAATATATGTTGATCAAGTAAGTTGTAGTAGAAACAACTTCACCCTATAAATTATTTGGTAACTCAGTTCCCCACAAGATGCATCTTAATCGCTCCAAAATGGTTTTGTTCATGTGTTCAACTAGGCCATTTTGTTGCAGTGTACTAATAATAACCCTATGTCTGTTAATACCTTGTTTTCTATAAAACACATTAAATTTTGTGAAACAAACTCTAGACCCATTGTAAGTTCTCAAAAGTTTAAATTAATTCCAAATTGATCTTCTATAAGAGTATATTATTCTTTAAACTTTTCAAAGGTGTCACTTTAATGTTTCAAAATGTGAACTCATACTCTTCTAAAGAAATCATCAATCGTTGTGATAAAACATAAACCACCCTTGCATGTTTCCCCCTTGGAGGACCCCCAAAGATTCGATTGAACATACTCAAATGTTCTAATAGAGTTATACATACCAATCTCAAACTTCACCCTATGTTATTTTCCTAGTACTAAATGATCATAAATTATAGTTCATTTAATATCTCATTATTTATAAAACCTTGCTTATCTAGTTCAACCAAAGCCCTTTCACTACATGCCCAATATTAAATGTCGTAGTTTGGCTTCGTCGTGAAATTTCTTATTAGCTAATAATGCATGACCAATAACACTGATACCATCTAAAATATACAGACCACACATTTTAAACCCTCTAGTAAAATATCAATGCACCATGAAAATTTTAAAACAAGCCATGTTCAGTTCTAGTTTAATGTCCTAAATAATCAAACATGATTAAAGACAACTAATTTCTATTAAGTCAGTGACGATACCTCATGTTGTATAACACTAATTCGCGTTTATTAAGCATCTTAAGTCGAATTGTTCCAATATCATGAACTTTGCAAGCGTCATTGCTACCAAGTAAAACAACTCCACCTTATTTTAGTTCCAAAGTCTCAAATTGTTCCTTCCATGGATGCATATGATAATGGCATCTAGAGCCCATAATTGAAATCTTCTCCATCTCCAAACTCGTACCCACTAGTGCACTAGAAATATCATAACCATTTCATTTGATCCAATTGCAATCTGACAATAATAACGTTTTCTCCCCTTTTCGGGACATTCCTTCTTGAAATGGTCAGTTTTATGACAAGTGAAACATTTGTACTTTACTTCTCAAACTCTTTGAACTTGGACATTGAGCTATTATTTCTTTCTCTTTATGTTTTCTCTACTCTCACTCTTCCCTCGTAAAATGTTTAAGCCTTCACGACTATCGTATACCGTAAACTTTTTCATCTTTGCTAATTTTTTTATTCTTATAAACACTTGGATCTTCTCCAAGGTGATACTTTCTTCTTTACCATGAAGAAGGGCATCTTTGGAGTGTTCAAAAGATCCCGATAAAGATCTCAACAAGAATAGAGTCTTATCCTTGTCAATAATTTTCGTCTCAATGTATTGCAAGTCATCAATAATTTTTTAAAATTTGGTCAATTTATCCATAATGAATTTATTCATCACTGTTCAAAATTAGTAGAGTTATTTCAAGCATAACCAATGAGGCAAAGACTTGATCATATACAATTATTCAAGATTTTTCCACATCTTTGACGTAGTATTTTCCCTTGTTACATCCCTTAAAATATTATCTCTAGAAAAAAATATAATGACACAATTTGCTTTATCCACCATCTCAATCTTCGCCACTTGTGTTTGGCTCACTGACATCAATGTTTCACCTTTCATTTATTTTGCACATTTTTGTAGCAAAATTTCTTACATTTTCACTTTCTACAATTCAAAACTATTTTTTCTAAAAAAAACTTTGCGTTATCCCATTTAAAATCTATTGTGCTCACATGTAAACCCAACTTTTTTTCCCACAATTGGTGCTACTTGTTGTGAAATTTAAAGATCATACATTGCCAAAAAAAATTAATATGTGTAACAAAAGAATAGCCACAACCACACTATACAACCTCAAACAAAATTAATCATGGTTAGTGTAAACAAAACCACAATAGCAATAAGAAGATAAAAAGTATGAAGCACAAATATTGTTTACTCAACTCAATCTAAAATTATCTTTTATGTGAAAATGAGAAACTCTTTTATTCACTATCAATCAAGAGTAATCAATAAAATTACAAAAGAGTTACAAGAAAATAGATATCCAAGTTCATAAAAACATCACCTGGTTTCTATCCAAATTATGACACAATCTCTCATCTTCTAAATATATGAATTACACACAATATTAAAGTGTTAAGAAGTGTTTCTACACACTTATATTACAACCAAAGATAAACTCAATCCATATAAACATGAATCCTATGAGTCATCTCTCTATCTCTCTAAAACAATATAAAACACATTTTCACCAACACAAAACCAATGTATTCCCCCAATGTCCATATGGTGCGCCCAATTTTTGTCTCCAAAGCATGAATGAAGAGAAATGCTCTAAACTCAAACTAACCTATCTTAAGTGTCTCCTTACCGGCCTAACATAAAAATTAAAATTTTATTGAAAAATTGAATTTTTGAAACATGCTTTCAAAATAATGATAATATATAATATATAAGTTAATTTTATAAATAATAGAAGAATGTCCAGCTTTTCCATAAAATTAAAATATATGGTTGAAATTGTAAAATAGTACTTTTTTTTTTCTATCATTTCCCAATAAAACTCGTGATATAGTAGCGAAAAATGTGCGCCACAAAAAACACAAACCATTTCTGTTTTGAGCTAACAAAAGAACAACTTGAATAAGAGTCACAGTTACAAAATAAGAATATCAGAATGTTCTATTTAAAGCAAATAGTTTTTGAATATAACTAACCTTATGATGGTTGACCAAATACCAAAATTCAATGGTTGAAAAGACATGGTCGACAAAACGAGTCATTCAAATAATATACAACCTAATTTCTGCCTGCTATATGGTCCAATTTGGTCACCTTCAAACTGATCCCAAATTTTCCACCAAATTTCTCCAAACTCTTATCTCTTACGTTTCATAATTGTCTTCCTTATGTGACATATATAAACACACATAGGTTAAATCTCTATGTATGTTTTATATGAAAGGTTAATTAGCTAGGAAACTTTGTGTGAATAAAAAGATTGAGATTTTTTCTTTGAGAAACAACATGAAGAGCATGAAGATTAACAACAAAGATGAAAGCTTTGGACAAAAGGGTATCTTAATTCATAGCCAAGTTATGAGGATCAAACAAGAATCAGAGAAAATATTTGAATGGTCAATTTGTCAACATGAGATAAGACCTGTTTTAAGGGAGATTTCCCGGTCGCCGTTGGGATTTTCCGGCCAAACAATTTCAGTTGGGGATTCTAGAGTCATAGAATCATGTTAAGGTTTTTGATTAGTGTTATGATGGTGCATGGAGATTGTTGAGGGAGGATTTGTATGCCTCCCCTGTTCTTTCTCTGTTTTCCTCTGTTTTTTAATCAGAGATATTTATATACTTAGTTATTTTCTCTTTTTGTTCTTATGTAAATATTGAATGATGTTAATTACATAATCATAATATATGGTTATTTAATATATGTATTTTATAGTTTTTCTATCTTGTTTCTCTGTCTTGACATCTAGTGAATCAACCTCATACATCATATGAGTATTAAAGTATGAGAAAAATTTATAATGCAATACATTTAAAATACATATATAAAAAATTAAAATTCAACATTACTTAAATTATTCTTTAACAATAACTAATTAAATTTGCAAAATTTGATAGTAATTCATAAATAAAGTATGAGAAAAAGAAAACATAATTAAAGTTCAGAGAAAAATAATTAAAGAAAACTTTGATTCTTGTAAAAAATGTGAGGAATGAAGTAAGTAAAGTTGAGAAAAGAATAACAATACCGAAAATATTGTTTTAGGTTTTAGAAATATGAATAGTCATGAAATTAACCTGCCACATTTACAAAGTATCACGACATGTTGCTGTTATATCAAAACGTATCAACATATCGATACGTATTAAATACAATTTGGCATAAATTTTAAAATATTCATGTCTCATTCTATCTATTATTTTCTCCGTTTTTTTTAAGTGTTACTTTTGAAATAATTTTTTTAAATTTTTTTAATTGTCATTTGCAAAATTTAAGTTACAAGAAAATAAAACAATGATAATCAAGAGGAATACGTAGAACTCTTATTTCTTTGACGGCCTTCAATGATAAAATGAGAAGTCGTTTAAAACCTTTTTTCATTCAAATTGAAGTTAATGAGATGAAGATAAACAAAGTTCAATTCAATGGCAGTGCAAGGCCAAAATTGCTTTTACTATTTCTCAACAAAACTAAGATAAATTTGGCTCTTCATAACATGGTCATCACTAATTTTAAAGGAAAGAGAACAAAGCCTAAAAGTGTTATTTCTTTAAACATGAAGGTTGATACATTAACTCATTTAACTATGTTCAACGTTGTACTTGCTAAACATACAATGCATGATCATCCTCAGTGATGATGACAAATAATGAAATGTCATTATAAGATTCATCAAATTAGAAAATGACTAAGTTATCAAAATATGTAGCTAAGAAGGTTTTGTTGTTAAGAGAAAAAATAGTAAAATGCAAACATCACCATTAAAGAAATTGATGTTTGAAGAAGTTAGTCTGATCTTGTGTTTTTTTAGTGTAATTTTTATTTATTTAAGATCATTAGTGTGTAATTAAGTGTGAGTGGCTCTCAATGCACTAAAGTAATTTGAATAATTTGTTTCCTATTTAGGTAGGTCTAATCAATTAGAGAGCTATCTCGACCCAGGGATAATTTACTTTCTAGAGCGAATTTCTTCTCCTAGATAAAGGAGTCTTCATTTCTAATTTCAAAAACATGATTTTATACTCTTTCTTTTCTCTCACTCTCTTCGTATAAACTATTTTTATACACTTTTTATTATTTTAATTCTATGATAACAAAAATCTTAAAGTAAGAGTTATGTAATTTTACTATTTCATAAGATAGTTCTTGTACATTATAATTGATATAAAGGTTGCAATTGAATCTGAATAAAAAATTGGGTGTAAGGAGATTGTGGGTTGTTCATGTGATATAGATTCATGTTGACAATAGAACTTTCAAGAAGAAACTCTTAAGAATTATAGTAGGTCGTATAGTTTAAGGTCATGTCATGATAAATCCCAGTGCACTCTTTTTTACTCTTTACTTTTTATTATTTTGTATTGTATATTTCCGCTTAATTCTCTACTTCATTTTCTTTCTCAAAATTTAACAAGCTAAAATCAATATTTTTAATAAGTTTTCAAAAATGGTAAAACACAATTCATCCTTTTCTTGTGTTTAAAGTTACTTGGTAAAAAAATTATTAGAGTTTAACTTTTATTATATGACCAATCATCTTAGAATATAGGATGACTTCAAACGAATCTTTATTATCACTAATGTTATCGATATTAATTAGTTATTTCTCGTATTTCTTGCTATAATATTGCAAAATAAATGTATGACACATTTTAAGTTATCTACAAAGTTAAAGTCGAGGTAAAATTGGCTAGAATGGACAATTTTAACACATCACGTATAACACAACTCTCAGAAGAAATTTTTCACTCTATTGAAACTAAGACACTCTATTGAATTTAACTTTATAAAAGAATGAGAGAAAGAAATAATAATAGAAAGTTTCTATTAATGAAATTTGTGTATTTTGAAACAAGAAAAAACCTCCTTTATATAAGACAAAGTGTGGCTCAAAAAGAAAACATCCATGAGTCTTTTTAATGATTTATTTGTTAACGTAATGTGCTAATAAATTACCCAAACTAAAATAGGAAATTTTGAAATTCGACGTTACATAATCTATTATTAGTTCTCTTAATTGATTAGGAGGCATTACACTATGATTTTATCGATTAGAGTTTCTATTTTACCTTCCTAATTGAGTAAATAAACTTCTAATAAATTTTATCACTAGCCCATATTGGTTTTAATAAGTTTTAATAACACTGTGTGCGCGTGGAGGTGGGGTGTTTGTGTGCGTGTGTGTGACCAAAAATAAACTCAATTATTAAAACCCGAAAAAAGAGAATTATGAAACTGAATTATAAAAAATTGAACCCTGAAAAAAATGACTCTTGAATCAGACGAAAATGGACCCTCTATTTCTAAATCGAGGGTTAGGTCAGTTTAAAATTTTTGGCCTGAAATGGAACCTGCCGACCAGATTTCCACCCCTTGTTAGAAAATAGAAAGATAAAAAAATTGATTTGACAGTGTAACAAAAATTAGATTGTCCTAAATGTTTGAAGAATGGGTAAGTGATTGAACAACTTTAGACTTTGATCTTCTTATTATCGTTACTTCAATTTATCCATCAATAGAGTCAATGGCTTATAGATAATATCAAGTAGTTTTGGCGTTAGGGATATTCATTTGTATGACATCTATTCACATAAATTGAACAAATATTATAATATAAAATAAAAACATGGAAGCTTGTAGTAATTATTGTGGAAGTTACCTTTTGATTTCGTATAAATTTGAATTGAGCATAAATCTATGCCAAGATCAAAATCACTCCAAAAGAAGCATTATGCAAAGGAGGAAACTTTTGACAAAAAGAATCATATTGACTCTAATCCAGAAGACAAGATTGTTGCACTAGTTTTAATGTTTGTTTCCTAATATTATGTTTTTCAAGCAATAATTTAGCATCCAAACACACAACACTAGTTAGATTCTTATGTTCATATAAAACATGTAACTGTTTTTAGAATTTGGTAATATATTCTATAGTGTGTACTTGAACTCTTGTTGAGATCTCTTATCTCATAGAAGTACTATTAACTAGTAGGTTCGAAAAACAATCATCAAAAGACTTTGCAATTTGTTTAAAATGCTAAGTCCATCCAGTGTCAAAACTATTCATGGAGTAAGAAAGTTTTTAAAGGGAGAGGTAAAAATTTGAATTAATTTCAGCTTTTGTATCCTTTTTTTTATATGATCATAAGCTTCCAAATTATTTTTCTAGTAGGAAATGGTTTATGATTAGGAATAATCAAAGAGTATAACATTTGAGCCAAGATTAATTGCTTAGACACCACTTGAGGTTGATAATAGAATGAACAAGATTTGAAAGAATCATTTAACTAATACCAAATATATCCAAGCATCTATATAATCAGTTTTGGCAAGAGTACTTGAACTTGGTAATTTTTTAGTAAACCAATCAGTTTTGCCTCATATCCTCAGATCAATCAACAAATGGAGTCAAAACCCTAAAAATGGAATATGCTCATTGTCAAATGGCTTGTGATTGGAAAATTATAAGTTTAAGAGAGGAACTTTTTTTTAGTATATTTTGAGTTTTGTGATTTTGTGATTCTATGATGTTGATGATGTTGCATGTTTGTATTGTCCATAACCATACATTTATTTATTTCAGAGATAGATAAGACTTCGGTTCAGGGATGGCCTGATTCAGAGAGGAACTATGGCGGACTCACGTCTAGAGAGGGACACGGTTCAGAGAGGAACCAAAGATATGGGAAAATCAGTAACATACCTCTGATGCCAGAGACTTGGTACCACATGCATTTTGAGAAAGAGTTGGTGACATTATCATTTTCAATTGCATTGTTATCTATTTGATTGTACTTTTGAGTGTGATTGATATATTTTATAATTCGTGATTATTATCCTGTTCTGCTGAATTTCATCATTAACATTTGTTAGATGTCTTTTCAACCCCTGTATGTTGTTGTGACGTCTGTGCTCTTCGGGAGTACAGACAATCAGGTACAGGAGTAGCCGCTTGAGTTAGAGGATGGCGTCGATGTCTCTTTAGCTTTTATCATTGGGTCTTAGAGGAGTCGCTCTGATATGTAGCACTGGGGATGAGAATTTCATTCATTATATGTGTTATGTTTTCCTTATGTTGAATGTTTTTGTTGTTAAGACTTATATGTCGAACTTGATGATTTCCGCTGCTTATTTTCGCATGACTATTTTGTGGTTGATATTTTTATGTTACGGTGAAGCATGCGTGACATTCTAATTGTGGAACTTTAATTGAATTATCTTATTAAATGTCGAATCGGAAATTAGGGTGTTACATATTGCATGCGCAAGATAAAAATTGAAGAGGAATTCAAGCCATTGGTTTAATCGTAAAGAAGACTTAATCCTACAATAAAAGAAGTGGTAAGAAAAGAGGTTCTGAAACTACTTGAAGAAGATATGATCTATCCTATTTTTTATAGTTTTTGGATAAGTCTAATGTATGTAAACACTAAGAAGGGAGGTATTACCGTTGTTCGAAATGAAAAGAAAGAGTTGATTCTGAATCGAAAAGTTATCGAATGGCATATGT